CGGCCACCCCCGCCGCCGCCGCCAAGACCGTCTCCGCCGATCCGGCCCCGCACCAGCCCCCGGAGGCGGCCACCCCCGCCGCCGCCGCCGGGTCCGATCTGGACGGCCCGCCCCGGAGATCCGCCACCGCCGGCAAGCTCAAGAAGCCCTTCACCGACAAGCTCCGCGCCGCCGCGGAGGAGCGCCTCGCGCGCATCCCTGTCGACCTCCGCCTCCGCCCGCTGGACCCCCCGCCGCCCTCCATCTCCAACCACGAGGCCGCCCTCCGCGCCCTCGGCCTCCTCGACTTCGCGCGGTTTGACCCCGGATCTGAGCCCCCGCGCCCCGACCTCGTCGCGCAGCTCATCGCCTATTACGACCGGATTAATCAGCGCAGCTTCGTCTGGGACACCCGCGTCGGCCTCAACCGCTCCGAATTGGCCATCGCCTTCTCCCTCCCCAAAAAGCCAGTCGGGCCGCCCGCCCCGCCCCGAGGGATCAAAACCGCGGCCTTGGTCTCCGCCGCCCAGGAGTTCATGCGCGTCTGCATCCATCCCTGGTTCACGGATTGCGCACTGTCGCAGGAGGTGGCCGGGGCGGAACAGACTGTGAAGGACGGGTCACCGCATAAGGTTAACTGGGGCGGCATCATCTGGGGTATCATCGAGAAGGAGATTCACGAGCTGCCCGAGAGGGGTGATGGGGTGTGCCAATACGGCGCGTATCTTCAGCGGCTCATCCGGGTGCAGAAGCCGCTGCTGTTTGAGCTGCCGCAGAAAGAGGAGGCGGGGAAGCTTGTTCAGATGGTGTCTTCTGATTTAGTTAAGGACGAGCGGGATGGAGACGCAGATGCCAGGAACAAGGGCTTGCAGGAGGTGGAGCCTAGAGATGCAGATGCGGATGCGAGCAGCAAGGGCCTGAAGGAATCTGAGTTAGAGGGTGTGAGTCTGACCAGCAATAGCTTGGATGAATCGGGGCCCGCAGATGCTGATGCTAGTGGTAATGACTTGAAGGAGTTGGAGTCTGGGGATGTGAGGCGCAACATCTTGGAGGAATCAGAGACAGCAGGTGTGGATTTGAGGAGCAATGACTTGAATGAGTCTGGGGATGTGACCAAGATATTGGAGGAATCTGAGACAGCAGCTGTGGATTTCAGGAGCAATGACTTGAATGAGTCTGGGAATGCGAGGAGCAACATCTTGGAGGAACCAGAGACAGAAGGTTCGGATTTGAGGAACAATGACTTAAAGAAGTCAGATTCTGGGGATGCAGGGAGCAAGAGCATGGATGAATTGGCGGATGTGGATGCTAATGCAATGAGCAAGTCACAGGATACATCAGTGGTGGCTGATGGGGATGCAAAGGGCATGGGCTCGGATGTTGAGATGGAGTCAGGGGATGCTGATGCTAATGCAGGGAGCAAGTCACCGGATACATCTAAGGTGATGGATGAGGATGCTAAGGGCTTGGATGTCGAGATGGAGTCAGGCGATGTGGATGCTAATGCAGGGAGCAAGTCACTGGATACATCAAGGGTGATGGATGAGGATGCAAAGGGATTGGATGTTGAGATGGAGTCAGGGGATGCAGATGCTAATGCAGGGAGCAAGTCACTGGATTCATCGAAGGTTATGGATGAGGATGCAAAGGCCTTGGATGTCGAATTGGAGTCGCAGGCTATTGATCCTAATGCAAGCAATAATTCGCCGGATACATTTAAGGTGGTTAATGAGGATGCAAAGGTCATGAGTTTGGATGTCGAATTGGAGTTAGGGGATGCAGATGCTAATGCAAGGAACAAGTCACCAGATACATCAAAGTTGGTGTATGAGGATGTAAAGGTGGACATGGATGCTAATGCAAGCAGCAACAAACTGGAGACACCCAATGTGGCGGATGAGGACGGCAAATTGCTGTTCGGGGGTGTGGATGCTAGTGCAAGCAGCAATACACTGGAGCCACCAAATGTGGCTGATGAGGATGATGAATTGCAGTTGGGGGATGTGGAGAGATTGGAGACATCAAAGGTGGCGGATGGGGATGTAAAGGGCATGAGCTTGGAGCAATCAAAGGCAGGGGATGCCATGGTGCTGGAGGAAGCTGTAGCTCCTACACATGAAACGAATGCTGTGAATGGTGAGGTTTTGGCAGACTTTGCATGGGAGGAAGATGAAGACACAATTGTGGGTGCAGCAGAGAAGGATGCATGCCCATCGCCGGAGGTGGAACTGTTGACACAGGAGAAAGTGCTAGTAGGGCCAGAGGAGGATGAGGAGGCAGAAGAGGAAGAGAAGGATGAGGCAGGGTGGAGCTCTGCCAATGATGACGATGACAGTATGGATGTCGAAGATAATGTATCTGTCCAAAATCTGGATACTGATAATGAGGAGGCGGAGGAGTCAGAGCATGATGCATTTGAGGGGTGTAGTGGTGGAGTGGAGATGAACTGGGGTATTGGGGATGACAAGGGGGGCGAGGGGACGACGCATTGTTTACAGCAATGTGATTTTCCAGGGGTGGAGTTTGAGAATTTGAATAAAGGGAATGTTGGGATGAGGGATGGTGTGAGCTTTGATGATGGATTCAAAATGGGTTCCTTGCATGGGATGGAGTCAAACCTCCTCCAGGCTATGAACTCAGATCCTGCGACATACAATGGCACGGAGAATGCACATGACCTGTCCTCTGGAAATTTCTTGGCTATGGGGGCTGATGCACATAAGAATGGAGTGGACCTGGGGACTGGCAATTCATTTTTCTTTGGCAATAATAATGGGAAGAGGCACGTTGAGGATATTGATGATGGGTACAATGACCAGATGCAAACACAACAGCAGTTTCTGCAGGGCAATCAACATAA